CTGCGTGGGTTTCCTTTTGCACAGCTTCAATGTTCCTTTTTCTTGGTTTATTCATCTTTTAGATGGAGCATATCTTCTGTTCACTAGTTTCCTTGAGGAAGGCTGTACGGGAGGTAAAGGTTCACACACACACACACACACACACACACACACACACACACACACATAGTTTAAATCAGCATATAATGTATTAGATACCATTGAAGCTGTAGGGCGATTGGTAAAGAAAAGTCCCCAGACTATCTTGATACAAAATATATAGCTTTAATAAACAGAAGTAAGACTTACAACAGCTTACACCAGAATCCAACCGATCCGTCTGGACATAGGAGCCAGGCGAAAAGAGGGCTAGCGGAGCGCGTTTGCAAGGTTTATAGGCAGGCTTTTGCCTGAGGGCGGCACGCCCCGAAAACAGAATATGATTGGCTGAACTCCCCTATCATACCATTCTTATATTTTTTAACTATTTTTATCGTTCTCCTTCCCCCATCTTTCTCCATCCCCGCTACTTCTGGCTGCCCCCTGGTAGTCACCCCCTGCTTTCCTTTCATGTCTCATACGCCTTTCTGCCTATCCCTCACCCTTCCTCCTTCTTTCCTGATTTTGTCTTCTCTGAATTTTTCTACATTTTTAGATTTTACCTACTGGAAGTCTATTTTCATATACACATGTATACATTTATAAAGTTGGAGTCCGCAATAAGGGAGAACGTACAGTTTTGAGTTCCTGTAGGTCTAAAACTTTTTCATCCCTCACTCATACTTGATTTGTAATTTGACTAACTATAGAATATGAAGTATTTGTTTTTTTCATAATCTTGAAACCCTGACTTGTCTTCTGCCTTTCAACGCTTCCTTTGAAACATCCAAACTTACGTATCCCTTAAGCTTTTCGAGTTTCCCGGACTCTTGTAGAAGCTTCTCATTGGATCTGTTCGTTAATGTGGATCTATTTTATGGTTTAAATGTATCTTCAAAGTTTACCCTGTGACCCTTTAATACAGTTCCTCATGTTGTGGTGACTCCCCCAACCAGAAAAATATTTTATTGCTGCCTCATAACTATTTTGCTGTTATTGTGAATGATGATGTAAATATCTGTGTTTTATGATGATCTTAGGTGACCCCTGTGAAAGGTCGTTCAACCTCCATGTAGAAAGTCACAACTATAGAGTGTAAATGGACTAAGATATCCTATTTTCCACTTTTTCTTAAGTTCTCATTTGTATAACCTGATAAATGTTTGAAAATTTGAATTCACAAGTGCATTGAAATAAAAACCCATAGCTTCTAAAAACACGGAGACCTTTTTCTTCTTATACTCTATTTTCAGCACATTAAAAAAAAAACTGTGCCAGATTTTCTCCAAACTCTTTAGGCTTGAATTCCTTCCTACTCATATTTAAAATAAGAGTCTCAAGAACTGCCTGGGAGTTCCAAATGAGTGCTTGCTCATGAAGAGATTTCCAGTAGGGTGAGCTGCCTGAGAGCTTATTACGAGCTGGGGGACTTCAGCTCCAGGTTCTTTTCGAGTAATACCTAAGAGGACTCTGTGTCCGTCTTCCCAGAGAGTGATGAGTAACCAGACCAAGCAAGAGAATTGTTTTTATAATGATTCTTTACTGGCAACTTCAATATCCAAGGCATCAATGGGGTTTATAGTCTTAATAGACATGGGGGATTGATAATGGGCAACACTCAGGCAATTCAATATCACAATTATTAATCCTACTAATCCTAATACATAAAACCAATTCATAACCTTAATCTAACTTTATCACTTATCCATAAAACACTTCTTAACCTTAATACAATTTATCCATTACCTATACAACACTTCTTAAACTTAACACAACTTATCCATTACCTATAAAACACTTCTTAAACGTAATACAACTTATCACTTATGTATAAGATATCTCTTAACATTCCATATACTAGCATATGTATTAACACATCTATGCTCTTCTCTTAACATTTTGTGCACACATTAAATAGCATCATACGACCTGGTATTCTTCAGCTTAAAAAGGGCTTTTTGGATTTCTTCAAGCTGGACGCCTGACTGCACTGGGGGCTGGATTGCGAGGCTCGACTCTTGACCTCCTAGTCTGCGTTTGGGAAATAAGGCATTTGATGTCCTGTTCCAGGCTGGTATGGGGTGCTGCATCAATCCTTGACCGTGTAGTCTGTGGCCTAGTGTTAGTTTATCTCAGAATGTAGGGCCTATGGACTCGGCTTTTCGGGTGACTGAGTCTCGAGAGACAAGGGTTTTAGTTCTCTACTCTCGAGTCAGCAAAGCGTCTGTCTGCTCTCGAGTCAGAAAACGAAGCTTTGATCTCCGGATGGCAAAGCGTTTTGTCTGCGTTCGGAAAGGCAATGTATCTTGTCTGTTCTTGGGAGACAGACCTTCAATGTCCACTCTCAGGAAAGGAGGCTTTGCATTTGGAATGCAATTCGGAAGGCGTTAAATGTCTGTTTTCGGGAGCTGAAGCTACTACTCGGGAGACAGAGCATTAAATGTTTAGGCAAGGCGTTAAATATTTCTGCTTTTTGGGAAGCAGGCTTGGAGGATCTCTCTCTACAAGGCTTGGTGCCCAGGCCGCCATAAGAAGTGAGATAACTGCCCTGCTTCTGCCCCCTCTTTTTATGCCAGTTTGAAATTATCCCTTGTTTGATCCTTCCGATAACCAGATGTCCTAGATTATCAGTATCAACTGGCCACAGAATGGGGGTCCCTCTCGTGTGGCAAGATTACTTCGTTACCAAGGTTGCTGGGTGACGCCTCCCCATCTGTTTTTTTAAATCAATAACAAGTAAAATTTTATCCATCTCAAAGATCTCTGATGCAGTTTGACAGCTGAGAGGTTTTGTCAGTTTAAAAGGACAACCTCACCAAACAAATTTCAGTAAAATACAAATACAAGACATGCAAGTTATAAAGGCATGAGGACAAATACAAGTTATCAAATTTCTTTTTCATGGTGCCTTCCATAGTCTTAAAAATATTTTTTATTGTACAAAATTATCTGTATAGTCATTCTGACATAAATATGCTACTGTTTATACAATGTATATGTCTAAAATTCTGTTTTCACAAACACAGAGAATTCTTGTAAGTTCCAGGGAGCTGAATTGAAGGATTTACCTTAAACAGGTCAGATACACCCCTCTCAATTCCCTGGTCCTAAAAATTTTTTCCTAAACTGTTCTGCCAATACCTTAAACAGGTGTAAGAGACACCAGACATTTCCACAAACACTGGACAACTATGCCAGGATGTGACCAGCACCCAGCCTTATCAGGTCCCCCTCCCCAAAGACGACACCCACAAAAAAAAAGCAGGAAGTTCTGAGAATCTGCCGCCCCAATTCCTTTAACCTGTGGTGCCTAACCGCCCACCCTTCTATTATAAAAAAGAGGTGAGAATGTAATGATTTGTTCTGTCTCTTTAAGAGACAAGCCACACCCATTCCCTCCCCAATGGCTGAGGTAGGCAGATCATCCCTTCTGCTTGCAGCCTGAGTCTCTTCCTTTTCTGTCTCCCTCTTCTGTCCTCCCCCTATTCTGTCTCCCCTCTGCCTCTCTTCTCTTCCATAACTCACTAAATAAATATCCAACCTTACTTTGCATGGTGTACCTGTCTGTTTCTTGCCCACCTCCGCGTGTCTCCCTGCCCCAGACCTGCATGTGGTCTCATGGCCCACTGCAGCCGCTGGGGATCCTGCAGAACTTTTTAATTAATACATTTCAGCCATGCTCAGTCTCCTGCTTTCTCTCTTTACTCCGGTCTCTTCCAGATGTCTCTGGCTGTTCTTTCCCTTCTGTCTACAATAAAAACTTCCTCTTAGCCAAACCTTGGAGACGTCACATCATCAGTTTATATAGCTATAAACTGTTCAAGGTTTAGTAAATTAAACTTGCTTGTGAATTAAGGTGACTAAAACCCAGGGAACTGGGATTCCTGCATTTTCAATTTCTTAAGACTCACATTTTTCCCCCTTAGGAAAATTTCTCAAATTTTTGAGGTCTCCAATTACAGATCTGTAAAATTGAGACATGAGGGCTAAGATTCCCTAATTGTAAACTTTAAAGTGCTTTTTTGGTTAATTAGCATATTAGTTTATATAGTTAACACTTATCTAAATTTTAATAGTCTCACTTTGGAAATCAGATAAAAGGCCTAAAAATGTGAATATTTTGTTCAAATCACATGACTAAACAAGTGGTAAAGCTGAGTGTAATGGTCTGTCCTGTCCCTTTAAGAGACAAGCCCTGTCCACTCCCCCCCTTCCACCAAGGCAAGGGGATCTTCCTTCTGCTTTCAGCCTGTGCTCTCTCTGTCCTGTCTCTCTTCTGGAAGAGATGGCTGCTGCCCCCTCTCTCCCCCCCCCATTTCTCTCTCTCTCTCTCTCTCTCTCTCTCTCTCCCTCCCTTCCTGTCCTTCCCTCTCTTTCCCTTCCCTTTCCTCTCTACATGCTGTCTATCAGTCTCTAACTTGCTGCGGCTCCCCCTGGGACTGGCTGCCCTGCCACCTCCCACCAACCTGGGATCCCCTGAGGCCTTCTGTGGCTTCCCTGCCTGGGACCTGGCTGCCCCTCGTGGCTGCTGCCCCTGGGGGAATGGTGCCATTTTATCTAAACCATTACACTGAGATTAACTCTTGGTTCTGTCAATTCTAAAGCTGTGCACTTTTTAAATTTATGTAATTCTGACATTAGACCTGATTTCTGCAGAGTAGGTCAAGTCCTCAAACATTTCCCGAGTTACTCTCACTTTGAAATGCCTAAGTCTGAAGTTTAAAGTGTCATGTGCTCAATTTCCTTCTCCTTGTTATTTATGGTGGTGTGAGCCCCGATGGCACAGTTTTCATATCTTCCCTGTTACATATCTTCTACAAGTCTGTTTTCTAGAACTAACTCCTCAGTCTTATCTGAAATAAAATTAGGTATGAAATTGGCATTAAAATTATAACAACAAAAGATAAAACAGACCAGAGAAGTAAAAACTCCAAATATTTTATATTTAAATCATTTTAAGACAAGTGGCATTTTACAGTTAAACATTGAAATAACCTAAATCATGTTACTATAATTACAACCTTTACATGAATATTTGCATGAAAACCAGTATTTAACTTTGAAAACAAAGAAATATTGTAGAGAGACCTGTATGATACCAGTGCATATATACTGAGGTAATATCTGGATAATCAGTAACTTTCACAAGCATAAAAAGCACGGCTTTTTGGATGTCCTAAGTGAGCTTTCTAGGTGGAGAAGACCACAGAGCAACATAAGTTCAATTCAATGTTATGACAGTTACGCAAATGGACATAAATTCTATTACCAGGTGAACTTGAAAAGGTAGAATATTGATTATACATGACCAAAATATCAATAAAAACAGTCTAATAGGTACAGAAGTGCAGTAACAAAAATGCAGCTAACAAGAGTGCTGTCATATGTGCAGGAAATCACAGACTCACCAGGCTTAAGAAACCCTAAGGCCATTGTTTTCAGTGTTCTCTCTGACTCTCTTCTATAAACACAGTGGCTATTATGGGAACAAATTTTCAGACTGAGGACTGTTTTCAAAAATCATTTTCATCACCACCACTGATTATTACTGAAAACCCATCAAAGATTTCAAGGCTAATAATAGTTTCATGCAACTTCAGATCTATTTTGGGAGTAAATGGCTAATGAACTTTTCCTTTTATGGGTAAAAAGTTACCATATACCAATGTTATTAGCAATATGTAAATATGGCATTTAACATGCTTATATTTTTCAAAAGAGCTGAAACATACTTTACTGATGCATTATCAAGTATTTCGACATCAGTACTACACAGTCATGTGAGCCTATGGTTGCTAGCGGAGCTTTTTTTGTGGGCGGGGGTGGGGGCTGAATTCTGAAAGTTTTAGTGGATACCATGATAACAAATTTATTTTCTTGACAAGGTGTATCACAGTCTTCTTTTCTGATGTTAATTCACAGGCTTTTCTTCTTGTCTTTTTCTAAACGGTTCTGTAACCAAAAAAAAGATAGATTAATAAACAAGTTCACAGACATAAGGACTTACAAAATTTTGTCTTCTGTCTAGTTATTAGATAATTAAAATTTGAAAATATGGATTGAGAAAGTAAAAAAACTTAAAACACTACAAAAATCTGAGTTTTGTTTGAAAAAAACATTGAGGGGGAAGTAGTCTCTGATAATTTCTTTTTCATATATTCATCTGCTTGTCTCTTACTTCACAATTACCCCCAAGAAAACAACATTTTTCAAATTCCCTTATTGCAGACCCAATTAAGATCAAGGAAAAGATATGAAAAAAAGTAAAACCAAAAACAATTGGAAATGAAATAGGAATTAACCTTAAAAGAAGGAAGAAATCTCACAGACCAGAACTGTTAGCCACTACCTCTTGTTAAGGCTGAGTATCAATGCTTTTATAAGAACTTAGCATTAGCAATTAAATAGAATGAGAGGAAGTATTTTGAATGACAACATATATACTTTTATACATACATGATCACTTTAGATATAAATCAAAGTTTTAATGAAAATGCTAAGTTCGGGCAAATATCCAATATGAAGAGGGATTTTCCAAAATGAATTTAAAAATTATCAAGTGTTGATGGTTTGTGCTGCAAATAATACCTCATCATTTCTTGTTTTTGTTTTGTTCGTTTTTTAGAAGACAGCCAGGCCAAATAAGAAAAAAAAAAAGATTATATGTTTCAAAGGGACCATTTTCGAATATTTATTTAATACTTTTAACTGGGAGGGGCCCCAGCTGGGAAAAGACAAATGGATTTAAAAGCTGCAAAATAGAAGTAAAATTCATGAAGACTAGCTAAACTCAGCTTTATACTAAAATTTTTTTTTACTCATTTTTGCTTGTTCAGACTGAATATTAAAGAGTCACGTGTGAGAAGATGGGTCCGTCAAAAAATATGAATATGGTATGTACTCACTCATTAGTGGATTCTAACTATAAACAAAGGACATTGAGTTTATGGCTCATGATCCTAGAGAATCTAAGTAATAAGGTGAACCCAAAGAAAAACATATATTTATCCTCTTGGAAATTAGAAGCAGACAAGATAGCCAGGCCAAAGTTGGGAGCATGGGGGTGGGGGAGGAAGGACAGATATAGGAGCAGGGAAGAAGATATCTTAATTAAGGGAGGCATTGTGGGGTTGGCAAGAAGCTTGACTCTAGAGGGGTCCCAGGTGTCCACGGGGATGTCCCCAGCTAGGACCCTGGGCAGTGGAGGAGAGGGTGCCTGAACTGGTCTTGTCCTGTAGTCAGTCTGATGACTATCTTGAATATCACCATAGAACCTGCGTCTGGAGACAGATGGAGATAGAGACAGAGACCCACATGGGAGTACGGGACTGAGCTCCCAAGGTCCAGTTGAACAACAGAAGAAGGGAGAAGTTGACCAAGGAATTCAGGACCACGAGGGGTTGATCCACCCACTGAGACAGTGTGCCTGATCTAATGGGAGCTCACCAAAGCCAGCTGGACTGGGACTGAACGAGCATGGGATCAAACTGGACCCTCTGAATGTGGCTGATTATTGGGGCAGACCGAGAAGCCAATAATAATGGCACTGGGATTTGTCTCTAAGGCATGTACTGTTTTTTTTGGATCCTAGTCTATTTGGATGCATATCTTCCTAAGCCTGGATAGATGGAGCCTTGGACTTCTCACAGGGCAGGGTACCCTGCCCTTTCTTAGGACTGGAGGGGGAGGGCGAGGGGAGAGCGGGAGGGAATTGGGAGGAGGGGAGGAAGTGGAAATTTTGGTTCCTAGCATTAATAAAGTAATAAAAAAAAAAGGAAAAAAAAAGAGAGAAGATTGGTCCGTAAATGGCATCTAAATTTCAGTATACTTCTTAGGTTTTTCAGAGTGGACAATAAGGCTACTAGGTAGGCAGACAGGGAAAAAATATAATAAATCAACTAAGCATCTAATGGCTATGCCTATACAGGGTCTTTCCTATTTAAAAATATTTCAAGTTTTTTCTTGAAACAGAACCTGATTTGATGCTCATTAAGGTACCCTATCTCTCATGTAAGTGATGAAGTAGTCAAGCCGCCTGGATGTCAAATTATTCAGGGGCTTACAGGATCAATAAACCCTTCAAACAGATACCTACAGGAAGTCAGTCTGACAGGCAATGAACAGCAGGCACACAAAACAGTGAAGGCTTAGCCCGAGCCTTAGCAACAGTAGAAACCACCACTACTCTTGGGTTGGAGAGGGAAAAGTGGACGGTTTGGGTACAGGTCAGCAAATGGAAGCTGCCCACTGGAACTGTGACCAAGAATATGGGGCTGGAAGCCAGGAAGGAAATGTCACTTAAAGCAGAAAATAGGAGAAATCAGTGGCTTTCTGTTTTCAGTTTTCTACTAGTGCCTCTCACTATCTAAACTTGCCAGGAGTCAGAAAGCAAGGTTCTGGAAAGTACGTTCCTACATGGGATAGGGCAGGGTTAGAAAGAGAATGGATCCAGGAGTACACAGACTGAAGACCAGCACAGGCTGAAGAACCCAGTTAATGATGGCAGTTGTGAAGAAAGATATCCTGACATTGATGTCTAGTTTTAAATACTCTTTCTAGTTCAGCAACTTGAGAGCAAATCACATAAAAATTTTTGATTCTTGACATCTTGAGATACTAAAGTATTTTAGTGTAGTGAGGTGCCAAGGGAGTAAATCTGATACATAGGAAAGATCATTAGTCAGGTGCTTTGTCCTGGAGCACACTGAATAAATGTCAATATTTCATAAACAGAATACAGGTATTAGGTTAAGGCTATCCAATAAGGTTCCAATCCGCACTGCTAGGCACTCAGTCTATCTAGGATGGGGTTCTTTTCCAAAGCAGGTGCAACAACTATTTTCTTAGGCAGAGTATACTACAAAAGCTTTCCACATCTTTTGCTAAGAATAAAGAAGTTCCAAGCTGAAAGTGTTTTTTCTGGGGGTAGTGGGTAGACTGCAGGAAATCTTAACTTTATATATTCTTGAAGGTTAAGGAATTACTACCAAACTGTTAAAAGTTACCATTAACTGTCACCATAACAGAGACATTGAGCTATTGACTCTGACCTAAAATACTGAGGGTGTAGTCTTAGTTTCTTTTCCATTTAAGGGCCTAAATATTTCTGGAACCTTGGAAACACTTTGCTTTAAAGTGCATGGAAAAATATGATGGTTGAGAAGACTCCGGTCTCACAAATAAGAAGGCGTAAAATCTACTTAGACAAGAGGTCTCAAAAACACTTCTTTCCTTCCCATGCTGAATGCTGAGTTGTCATGGAGTAGTTTTTGTTATGCCCTGAGGAGGTCAACCAGTTCAGGATCTCTACCACTGCAAATAAACATTTACTCTAGACCATATAAACTTAGCCTTTAGCGTCTTAAGACTAGATTACCTATTGGGAACAAGATTATGTACATTTTAGATTGCTTCATGACTGAGTAACTGAAGGCTGAACCAGCTATTTGAGACTAAATCAGTCTTTCAGTAAAACTACAAAGGAAGTCACACTGATGACAACAATTATGATAGTTCATTCTTTCATTTGTTCACTCACTCCTTCCTTCCTCTCTCCCTTCTTTTCTTTGAGACATATCTAAATGCTGGAGTTAAAGGTGTGTGCTACCATGCTTAACTAACAGCTATCTGTTTCCTGAGTACTTACATCACCAGGAACGGTCAAGCACCCTGCACTTTACTTAGTTCTCTCAACAGTCCAGTGAGCAAGGCGTTATTATCGTTCCGGTGTTAAAGACGAAGACAGTGTATTTCATTCAGATGGGTAACATCATCTCTTAGAATCATAAAGCTACTATGAAGACTGATAAAGGTATTCCAATCTGATTCCAGAGTATATAGGTGTGATGCCTATTTGTGACACACCAAGGCTCCTTCTGTATCTGTTCTTTCTACACGTTCCCCTGAAGTACTAGGACTTGGACTGGCACTCCCCAAAATGAGTGGCTGGGAAATAAATTCAGGTTGGTGGTTGACAACTGAAGAGAAAAAAGACAAACCTACTTAATATGGGTGGATGTTTGGAACTGACTGTTGCTAAACTAGAGACAGAGAAAGAAAACCCATGGCTTAGATTTGAGAGATGATTTAACCAAGACATTTCCCCATCTTTATATCAACTCTGGAGGTATAAATCAGGTATCTGAATGCCATGGTTCTTTGCCCTAAGGTACAGAAAACAAAGACTGGAGTAATGTGATACAAAACTTCAAAATTTGGCCTCACTTTGGCACAAATACGGCAAACATTCCAGAGGTGAAACACATTTTTTCCAGAACCAATTTTTTAATGCTATTTTATAGCTCAATTCTTTTCTTTAAAACTTTACATAAGTGGAATATTTTTAAATTAGCATGTTAGCAATTCTTATATTATAGCTATCTTGCATTTGCTATAATGGCCTCAGGTAAATCTGGCTTCTCTGATTATTTAATAAAGCCAGGATTAAGCATACTATTTGAATTTGTGAAGGGCATGCAATCCAAATAGTTATTTAAGTAATTATTATTTCAAAAAACTTTACATCTTTAAATCCATGTCACCAACCTGAAGTTCTGAGTGTTCTTTCAGGAGTCGATCATATTCTTTGGAAAGTCTCTCTGACTGTATCTTCATAGCCATCACATCGTTCTGTGCTTTAAAAAGGGCTAAAAAAAAATCAAACGGAATTTTATTTAGAAATAACTTTAAATAATTAGAAAAGCTATATGACTTAAGTTGAGAACTCGTATATAGTATACACTCAAATTTCCAACTGGTAATGTCATGCTACATATGATCATACTCAACATCATATTGGTAAGTTTCAAAACACATCTCTTTTCTCTTTATTTCTTTTTATGTGCACTGCTGTTTGGCCTATATGTGAGGCTGTCAAATATTCTGGAACTGGAGTAACAGACAGTCGTGAGCTGCCATGTGAGTGCTGGGAATTGAACTGGGGTCCTCTGAAAGAGCAGCCAATGCTCTTACCCACTAAGTCACCTCTCCAGTCCTCTTTATATCTTCATTGTGCATTTTCTAACAGTATGGCATTCTCTAACATGACCACAGTGTAATTACTATATTTGAGAAATTTAATATTAACACAATATATTTAATGTAGTCTGCTACTCATATTTTAACAGTAATAGCAATCATAACTATGTCCTTTTTGATGCTGTTTTTCACTTCTACTTTAAGAAACAGTAGTGGATCACATTTACGTTTTATTCCCATGTTTCTTTGGTTTTCTTTAATCTATACTAGTTCTTTTATCTTATTCCAACCTTCTCTTTTTTGACCCTGACATTTTTAAAGAATACAGGCCATTTTAAAAGAGAATGGTCTTTGTTTGGGTTTGTCTGGTGTTTCCTCATGACAGAATTCTGGTACTCTTATTTTAAATATATTGTACTCCCCACTGAATATTAAGCCTAAAATTGTTAACCTAGTAGCCTTTACCCCGAGAATGGTTAGAAAGCCAGGCAACAGCCACATCCACGCCGAGGACAGAAGCCGTTAAGCAGGTCTGTGCTATTCCAGCACCAGGGGCCCTTTCAGAGCTGGCATCACACATTTAATCCTGTCTCTCAGGAGAGTGGCAGACGAGATCTGTGTGAATTCAAGGCCATGGGCTACACGAAATTGATTTATTCTAAAAGAGAAACGGAGCCAGGCAGTGTGATTAAAGGATCACACCTTTAATCCTAGTATTTGGAGTCAAACGCTTTTAATCCCAGCACTAGGGAGATGAAGAAAGAAAGGATATGGCTGTGAAGAGAGAGGAATATAAGGCGGGAGGAGACAGGAGCTCAGAGGCAGTCTGAGGACACAGTCTGATCATGCAGTTTGAGGATTCTTAGAGATAAGATCACTCGTTCAGTTTGAAGATTCTGTTAGAGGTAAACGGTCTTTCTAATGACTGGCTGTGCTGCTTCTCCGACCTCTCAGCTTTCACCTCTTCATACCTGACTCTGGGTGTCTATTAGTAAGACCAATTAGAATTTGTGCTACAAAAACGCTATCAGAGCTAGAGGAACAACCTTCAAGATTCGAAGATTAAACAGTTTATAACCAAAGATGAGAGGCTAAAACAATATTTCATTCAATTTGATTCATTCATTATTTACTTGACTAATTCAGGTAAAAATGATTAATTCATTATTTTTTTCTGCAGAGATCTTTTGGACAACATATACTCTACCAAAAAAAAAAAAGAGTAAACAAAAATAGAAAACATGGAATCTAAAAAGGTTAGGAAAATGCTCAGAATGATGATGAAGAGGTTTTAGTTATAATAATGCAATATAATATAAACTGTAAAATTTTCATGAAGAGTAGAAGTTAGGAAACGAGTTTGTTGAAATAAAAGACACAAGCTGGGCAGTGGTAGTACATGCCTTTAATCCCAGCACTCAGGAGTCAGAAGCAGGTGGATATCTGCAAGTTCAAGGCCAGCCTGGTCTATAGAACAAGTTTCAGGGCAGTCAGAGCAACACATTGAGAGCCCATTTCAAAAACCAAAGACACGTGTCCTTGTCATTCATAAGAAAGCTTAAAGAAGATATTCCACAATGAAAGAGCAAAAATAACGACCTAATCATTTAAGAACATGAAACAAGTATCGCAAGAAAGGGACCAACAAAATGGATTAGCTTTTGGTGTTTTTTTGTTTTTTTAATGGTAAGCGTCTACTAATTTTATGTATATGCAAAACGCAAAACTTTTAATTAAAAAGTTAGAGAAAGGTTAAGTACAGGTGCGCTAGGTGAATATTCTTTATATAGTACCAGAAATATGTAGATATGCTAAGCAATATGTTCAGATACAGGTTTTATGTTTTATTTGTAAAAGCAAACACTCCTAAAAGCTGGAATGGCTTTTAAAATCTAGTCTCATTTTTATTTTTCTAATAGAATAATAATGAAAAGAACATGCTGATGATTTTTTTCAAATCAGTTCTTCTCTCGTGAACATTTATCGTTCCAAATCAGTGGATTCAGCAGATGTCCTACATAAACAACCACAAACCAATAAGAGGTCATTCTGTTCACTGGCACAGATCCTCTTCTTCCTTCCAATGCTCTACCCAAGAGAGTTCAACATTTTAAGATTTAAGAGCTAAGAGATGGATCAAACATGCCAGGTCCTGCCCTAATGATTGCTTAAAACATCTTCCTGAGGTCACAAATATTATTTAATTATCCACCTGTTGAATTTAAGTTTTGGAGAAAGTATGTCACTGAGAAGCTTTCTTTCATGAAAAAAAATTAACTTAAAGGTCAAAAAGACAACAACGAAGATATTTACCATATTCATTCTTATTTAATTACATTATTTGGAGCCATATACCAGACATTCCAGAATAATCTATTATCTAATTTTATAGGAAAGAAAACTGTTGCCTAAAAAGATTTAGCAACTTGACAGAGATTACCCTGTGCTTCCTCACACATTTCCAAGATTAAACAACTTCTAACAGTAAAGATCTACTTTATAGGTAAAGTCAGGAATGGAGCCAACTGGTCAGATATTTCAAGCAAGGAATGGCTATCTTACCAGGATATGTGCTTATTTCTTATGGGACCCAACACTTTATCACCATCATTCATGTTTCCTAGGATGATACATCAACTAACAAACCTGTCAGTCATGTGCTTTGCTTCACTCAAAACTGTAATGCCATTTCATCCATCTTTTTACCAGTTTAAGTTTATCAGCACATTTAGAGAATTGTGCTCATTGATTGCATTCTATCCCTTAGAACATTTCTTTATTTAGTATGCATTTAACTCTCTTTACTCCAGCTGTGTGTGTGTGTGTGTGTGTGTGTGTGTGTGTGTGTGTGTGTATAGACTAACTCATGTATTGTTCAGAAGAAGAAACAAAACTACTGTTTTGTGTTTTATGTACATATATTTGCTGCATCCATATGGACTATAAACTCTTCATTAAATTGTCTGTGTTTTCTTGCTTAATGCTCTGTAATGGTTACAAAAGCTTTTCTTTGGATAGATAATTTTGTTCTATTAATGTCAATTATATATAACATATTCTTTCTAAGTTACTATCTTCTCCATAGTTACTTCTCCTAGTCTGGATACACTTAAAATAGTTATAGACATTGGGAACAGGTAAGGATCTCACAGAAAAGGAAAATATAATTGAATAGAAGTATAAAATGGAAACAAACAGAATAAAATATTATCATTACATATTTGTCCTAGGAAAGCACTCTTATTGAAAGCAAGACTCATTTTATGGTTTAAGATTAACATCAACCATATGTGGAGATAATAAGGAGATGAAAAAATAAATGCATTATTTGCCTAACTGAAAGGACTGGTCATAAGTTATTATCACCTTAAAAAAACTATTATTAGGGTTGGAGAGGTAGCTTAGTAGAGTGCTTGTCTAGAATACATGGAACTCTGGGTTTGATCTCAAGCACCAAAAACATGGGGCTGATGGTACACACCAATAATACTACTACTACTGGGGAGATAGAAGCAGAGGGTCAAAAGTTCAAGATCATGCTATACAGCACACTTGGAGACGTGAGTGTTCCAGTCCCTGCTCTCTAGGCCTAGCCCCTAGAGGCACATCCCATGTCCCACTCCCATCCACCAAAGATCCAGAGACCTGGGAGCAGCCTCCCAACACCCCCCAACCACTTCCCATGGAATCTGTGACCACCAGAGCCTTGGCCCCGCCCACACCTGGAGAGGTGAGTGTCTGGCTCCCTGGCTGGAGGACCCTACTCTCTAGTCCCTAGTGGCCAGAGGCACATCCTGCGTCCCCCCACCACCCACCAAAGCCCCAGAGCTTCCCTACACCCGCAACCAACCCTCATGGCATCTGCCATCACCGGAGCCTTAACCCTGCCAACACCTGGAGGAGCCCAGGAGCCAATCAGGGGCCACCAGAGTCATGGGACCCACCTGCACCTGGAGGAAGAGGTACCACCTAAGCCACAGGCACCATGTGCACCCACCAGAGGAAGAGATGGGTAGCCGACGGTGTAAGAGTCCACTCAACAACATAAAGAGCAGTATGGCACCACCATCGGGCACATCCAGAGAAACCAGTGGTTCTACATCAGCAAGATCTGAGCGTCCCAATGCAGATGGAGCAGAAGAAAATGACCTTAAAGATAATTTTATGAAGATGACAGAGGCCCTTAGAGAGGAAACAAAAAATTCCCATAAAGAAGTGGAGGAAAATTCAAAAACTTTGAAGAAATCAATGAATCCCTTAAAAAAAACAAATCAAGCCAATAAAAAACAATCAAACAGGTAAAGGAAATGGTTCAAGACTTGAAAACTGAAATAGAGGCAATAAAGAAAACACAAACTGAGGGAATTCTAGAAACGGAAAATCTGGGTAAACCATCAGGAAATACAAATGCAAGCATAAACAACAGAAGATAAGAGATGAAAGAGAGAATCTTAGGTGCTGAAGATATGACAGAAGAAATAGGTTCATCGGTCAAAGAAAATGTTAAATCCAACAAATTCCTAACACAAAGTATCCAGGAAATCTGGGACACCACGAAAAGACCAAACTTAAGAATAATAGGGATAAAAAATAATAATAGGGATAGAAGAAGTAGTCCAGCTCAAAGGCACAGAAAAATATATGTAAATATAAATATATATTTATAAACAAAAAATATATATAAATAAATAGAAATACAGATTTATAAATAAATATAAATATATAAATAAAATATAAAAACCTTCCCAACCTAAAGGACATATATATGAAAGTATAAGAGGCTTACAGAACACCAAATAGACTGAACAAAAAAGAGTCTCTTCATTATATAATAATAAAAACGCTAAACATACAGAATAAAGAACGAATATTAAGAGCTACAAAAGAAAATGGCAAAGTAACATATAAAATGGCAAAGCTATCAGAATTACACCTGACTTCTCAATGGAAACTCTGAAAGCCAGAAGGTCCCGGAGAGATGTTCTACAGACACTAAGAGACCACAGATGCCAGCTCAGACTACTATACACAGCAAAGTTTTCAATCACCTAGATGAAGAAAACAATACATATTTCATGACAAAACCAGATTTAAAAATACCTATCCACAAATCCAGCCATAACAGAAACTACTAGAAGAAAAACTCCAACCCAAGGAAGTTAGTTATGCCCACAAAAACACAGGCAATAGATAAACTCACACAAACAAACCAAAGAATAGAAATATATACAAAATGCCACAACCAAAAACAAAATCTAAAATAATAGGAACTAACAATCACTGGTCATTAAAATCTCTTAATATCAATTTGCCTAAAAAAGACACAGACTAAAAGAATGGATACAAAAACAGTGTCAATCCTTAAGCTGCATAAAATAAACACACCTCAACTTCAAAGACAGCCATTACCTCAGAGTAAGGGGTTGGGAAAATATTTTTCCAATCAAATGGACCTAAGAAACAAGTTGGTGTAGCTAACCTAATATCTAACAATTTAGACTTCAAATTAAAATTATTCAAAAGACAAGAAGAAGGATTATTTCATATTCATCACAGGAAAAATCTATCAAGATAAAGTCTCAATTCTGAACATCTATGCCTCAAATACAAGGGCACCCACATTTGTGAAAGAAACACATCAAATACCACACTCTAATAGTGGGAGACTTCAACAACCCACTCGCACCATGAAACAGGTCTGCCTGTTCATAACGTAACAGAGAAATAATGGAATTAACAGATGTTATGACTCAGATGGGTTTAACAGATATCTATAGAGCATTCCATCCAAACACAAAAGAATATACCTTCTTCTCAGCAACTCATGGAACCTTCTCTAAAATCGACCACATAGAAAGTAACCACACAGATTAACCAAAAAAAAAAAAAAAAAAAAAAAAAGGAATAACCCCTGTATCTTATCGGATCATCACGGTTTAAAGTTAGAATTCAACAACAACACTAATTGCAGAAAGCCCACAAACTCATGTAAATTGAACAGTGCTCAACGGAATCACCCCTGGGCCAATGCATAAATAAAGAAATTAAAGACTTCCTAGAATTCAATAAAAATGAATATACAACATACTCAACCTTATGGGACACTTTGAAAGCAGTGATAAGAGGAAAGTTCATAGCACTAAGTGCCTACATAAAGAGCCTAGAGAAATCTCACAATACCCAAAAGCTCTAGAACTAAAAGACACAATCTCACCAGGAGGAACAGATGATAGGAAAGAATCAAGTTGAAAACTGAAATCAATAAAACGGAAACAAAGAAAGTAATAAAAAGAGTCAATGAGAAAAAGAGTTGGTTCTTTGAGAACAATCAAGAAGATAGACAAACCTTTGTCTAAATTAACCAAAAGGCAGAGAGAGAATATTCAAATTAACAAAATAATAAATGAAAAGGGGGACATAACAACAGACACTGAGGAAATCCAGAGAACCATTAGGTCATATTTCAAAAACCTGTACTCCACAAAATTGAAAAATTTAAAGGAAATGGACAATTTTCTGGATAGGTATCACATACCAAAATTAAATTAAGATTAGACAAACAATTTAAATAGACCTATAACTCCCAAGGAAATAAAAGCAGTCATCAAAAGTCTCCCAATCAAAAAAAAAAAAGTCCAGATGGTTTTCAGCACAGAATTCTACCAGAACTTCACAGAATATCTAATAGCAGGTACTCCTCAAATTGTTCCACACAATAGAAACACAAGGGATAGTGCCTTTTTTTTTTCTGAAACAGGGTTTCTCTGCAGCTTTGGAGCCTGTCTTGGAACTAGCTATTGTAGACCAGGCTAGCCTCGAACTCACAGAGATCTGCCTACCTCTGCCTCTCAAGTGCTGGAATTAAAGGTATGTGCCACCACCGACTGGCTCCAAACTCTTTTTATTAGGCTACAGTTATGTTGATACCCAAACCACACAAAAATGCAACCAAGAAAGAGAACTGCAGACCAATCTCTCATGAACATTGATGAAGAAATACTCAATAAAATACTAGCAAACTGAATTCAAGAACACATAAAAAAATCATCTACCATGATCAAATAGACTTCATTCCAGAGATGTAGGGTTGGTTTAACATATGGAAATATGTCAATGTAATTCACCATATAAACAAACAAAGAAAAAAAAACCCACATGATTATCTCATTAGATTCTGAAAAAAACCTTTGACAAAATTCAACACCCCTACATGATAAAGGTCTCAGAGAGAGATCAGAGATACAAGGAACATATCTAAACATAATAAAGTCAATATACAGCAAGCCAACAACCAATAGCAAATTAAACAGAAAGAAACTCAAAACAATTCCATTAAAATCAGGACCAAGTCACAGCTGTCCACTGTCTCCTTATCTATTCAATATAGTACTTGAAGTTCTAGTGAGAGCAGTAAGACAACAAAAGGAGACCAAAGGATACAAATTGGAAAAAAAGAAGTCAAACTTTGCTATTGTTGATGATATGATACTATACATAAGTGACTCCAAAATTCCTACTAGGAAACTCCTACAGGATACAAGATTAACTCAAAAAATCAGTAACCATCCTATATACAGATGATAAACAGACTGAGAAAGAAATCAGAGAAATATTATCCTTCACAACAGCCACAAACAGCATAAAATATCTTGGGGTAACTCTAACCAAACAAGTGAAAGATCTGTATGACAAGAACTTTATGTCTTTGAAAAAAGAAATTGTAGAAGTTATCAGTGAATGGAAAGATCTTCCATGCTCTTGGATAGGTAGAATCAACATAGTAAAAATGGCAACCTTACCAAAATTAAAATTTCTATTACATGCTGCTAGTACTTAGGTAAATAGTTCTTTACACTTAGGAGCTCTATTTATACATGCTTTATTAGAAAATTCATTAAACATTTGCTTTTCCCTTAACAGGTATGGTTTTTTCTTTTTGAAACAGGATCTTCCTATGCCTAGGCTGCCTCAAACTCCTAATTCTTTTCCTCACCCACTAAAGTGCTGGGATTTCAGGTGAGTGTCACCATGCCTAGTGTGTGTGCGTGTGTCCTGGCTGTCCTGGAATTTCTATCAAGAAAAGCCTGACCTCTAGTTCAGAAATCCTCCTGCCTCCCAAGTGCTGGGACTAAAAGCATTGTGCCACTACCACCCAGGAATAGGTGTATTTTTAAAGTGTTGATATGCTTCGTGTTAAATGATTTGCAGAGTATGTTTTGAAAAAAATTCTTTAAAATTTTATGATTAAGGAAAAATAAAGAAAGAGAAGAATAAAGAAGGGACAACAGATTAAGGAACGTGCTTCAGTCCTTCTTGTTTCTAAAACAGTCTCCAGTAGCCTAGGCTGACTGAACTCTCTGTGTAGCCAAGGACAACTTTTAACTTCTGATTCCTCTGTCTCCACACCTATAATACTGAGATTACAGGCAACTATTCTTTCTCTCAAATTCCTTTTTAAGGAGACATATACTTCTAGATAACCTTTGTTCTAAGGTTGGCAACCCTAACACTTTCTTTTTAAATATCACATGTTACAGATGTAATCCTGTTCTTAAAGGGATGAGGAACAGGTATTGTTACAAGCAGCTCCATCCCTAGTTAAGTCCCACTTACTTTTACCACTGCCTAGATATAGTCAATATTTGGGTGGTGCACATTTCCTCTAGCTGTAAGAAGAAACACTGGGGAAGATTGTAGGCACATGTACTATTTATTATCCTGGAAAGGTCTTTACGTCAATCTTTTGAATAGCAGGTTTTCTACAACATAGTTCTATTTTTACTGTGAAAGTTCTATATAAATTTTATAAAATCTTTATAAATTCTTTAATGCTTAGTATCTGATTTTTCATGACAATGCCCTTTCCCAATTACTCACACTGGGATATCAGACTTATTGTGAAGTGGATTATTAAAGTGACAGACTAGAACCTTGCACCTGACTAGGTAGTCTGGAGTATAAATTAGGTGCTCGGGGGGGGGGGGTAATATATGCTTTCTTCTGATCTTTAATATAGTACCATACAGAAACACAAAAATAGCTTACTAACTTGTCAAAATCTGAGCCAGGGATTAAAAATTGAGTGGAATGTTTACTACTAGAATATTTATTTTATGTGTGTGCCAGAGTGTATGTCTATATGCTATGTGTGTGTGTGTGTGTGTGTGTGTGTGTGTGTGTGTATGGTATATAAACAAGCAGAAGCATGCAGATGTTAGAAAAGGGCATTGGATCCCTTGGAACTCGAATTACACACAATTGTGAGCCACCATGTGGTATGGGAAGTTCTTCTGTATATATGTGTTGCTTTTATTGGTTAATGAATAATGCTGTTTTGGCCAGTGGCTTAACAAAATAGAAAAGGTGGGAATTCCAAGCAGATAGAGGAGGAAAGAAGGCAGATTCAGTGAGATACCATGTAGCCGCTGCCAAAGAACAGAGATGCCCGAGAACTTTACCGGTAAACCACGAGTCTTGTGGCAAAATATAAAATAATAAAAATGGGTTAATTTAAGATTTAAGAACTAGCTAGCAATACACTGCTATTGGCCAAGTAGTGTTTTAAATAATATAGTTTCTATGTAATTATTTTGGGTCTGAGTGGCTGGGAATGAACGAGCAGCCTCCGACAATAACCATGTGGGTACTGGGAATCAAACTCTGGTCCTTTGGAAGAGCAACAACAGCTCTTAACTGCTGAGCCATCTCTTCAGCTCCTGGCAGAGGTTCTCAATAATGACCTACAGACAGCCACCTTCCCAAGTTGGTGATAATAATTGTTTAAGTAAACATTTATATTTAATACTTTATTTTCACTAATAAAATTTAGAGAAAATCCTTAGGGTGGATCACAGAAGCACAAAAGATAATGAAATTCCTTTGGAAAACATACTATAAAATAAAAATAACATTGCTTTTACTTGGGTTTCAAATCTAAAACATCATTCTGAAAATTCTTTAAGCAATGTCAATCTTAATATCTTCAATTTGCAGAAATAAATGAGCATATGATGAATGTGTGTATCAAGCACTGTGCTGTTAAAATCATAGAAAATGTTTTCTATCGACTGATATAATTTCTTAGTCTTGCTTGCACGAATTTGTCTGGTATAAGTCAAGAAAACAGGGAAAGAAACATCTCTGGAAACAGAATTTTTGAATTTCTCAAGGTCATTAAGAATGTTGCATAAAAAAGTACTCCGGGTAAATGGAATGTGTTCATAAAATATTGCACCTCTTGAAGGAACCGAACAGGACACACTCAAACAGGTTAAGTCTGCTTTGACTTCAGCCCTGTCTCCCTTTGAAAGTAGTCAGTCTACATTTCAAACAGAAGCAGGACTGGCAGATCTTCTTATCAGATTATAAACACAATGCCTACATTATTAAAGAATTCATTTTCCCGAAACTCCCAAGTTTTCTGTTAAATACACACTGAAGTAATGTTGAGCTTGGTTTTATCAGGATCAAGAAGTTAAAGTTCAAAATATCTCAGAATTGTAAATTTTGAAAGGCAAAGAAGAGAACATTAAATTGACTGGAGAGGAGCAAGTATGCCATCTATTCTTGCCTTTGGAAAATATTATTACATTTATTTATTTTTATTTAATATGGGGGAAGAAGGAAAAGGGAGGGATGGAGAGAGAAGAGCACACATGGAAGCCGAGATGTCAACACTGGATATGTTCTCTTCACCCCTGTCTTTGCTTTCCTGGAGCTGCAACTATAGTTAATTGTCACGATCCTGGCTTTTACATGGCTGCTGGGGATTGAACTCAGGTCTTTTGCTTCTTTTTAAGACCGAAACTCACTATGTAGTTCTGTCTATCCTGGAACTCACTCTGTAGACCAGGCTAGCCCCAAACTCACAGAGATCTGCCTGCCTCTACCTCCCAAGTGCTGGGATTTAAAACGTGCCCCACCATGCCCAGCTTCAGGTCCTCCTTGCTTGACAAGCACTTTATGGACTGAAATTCTATTTTTAAAGATGCTACCAAGGCTGATCTGAAACCTATTCTGTAGGCTAAGATGACCTTGAACTTCTGATCTCTTTTATATCTGAGTTCTGGGTGAGCCACCATGGCTGGTTTATGGTTTATGGTGTTATGGAGTGAATACAGTGTTTTGTGAATGTTAGGCAAACACTAACTATTATGATCTAAGATAAAAAATTACTAAAAGCAAAAAAATTTTTAAGTTACCTACTCACAACATAAGAGATCCTTGCCAGATAAAAAGAGATTTTGTATCTTTAATTTTACTAATTCAATGTATTTGTGAAATCCTTACATTCTCTAAAAGAATTAACGCCAACATTTTATAAATTAAATAAAAAAGATAAAATCACCAATGCAGAGAATAGAGGACTACTAAATTAACTTGTATATAAATGTTAAAATTTCTTGACTATGTCTAAATCTTTTAGAATCACAGTAAATATAACAATACAAAATATAACAGAATGTCTGAGTTTGTGGCTATATCAAGCAACCTTGTTTAGAAGGGTACTTGAATTTTTAAAGTACTCATTCTAAACTATCTTTGTTTGATGTTTTAAATTACCATTTAAATTTAAATAAGAAATTGAAGAGGTTGATGAAAGGTCTCAGCGGTTAAGAGCACTTGCTACTTTTCCAGAGGACCTGGGTTCAGCTCACAACTGTATGTAACTCCATTTCCAGAGGATCTAACACCCTTTCTTCTCACCTCTGAGGGCACCAGGCAAACGTGGTGTACAGACATACATGGAGGCAAAACACCCATACACACAAAAAAAAATAAATAAGAAAGAAATAGAAAAAGGATTAAAGAATTCTTCATTGCATGTCCTAATCTGGGTCTTTGTTTATAGAATTAGCTTTTATCTTTGGAATTTCATTTAAAATTCAAAAATACCTTCATGAAATAAATCCTATTCAAATAATGCAAACAGATATTTAATAATAGCAAGTTATATTTCAGAGAACTTCTATTACGCTTAAACTTAAACAAATAATGATTTCAAGTAGGCCTTTGATTTAGACATGAATCCTATTTACCTTCTGAAATTAGACGACCTAGGCATTCATCATCATTTTAACCTAACAATCTTAACCATGAATACCTAATAGGTTTTCTAGTGTTTGGCCAATCTGTCACCACATGCAAACACATTGTCAAGGATCAAGTTATAAACACTCAAAGAGTGTTTTAGAATGACAATGGATTTAAAGTATATACTTTCCTGTATTATGTAGCAAGTAAGTACTGAGAACAATCAGAACCCTTTAAGTGCAGAAACAGTTGCCTTCATGGACTTGGATTTAGGATGCCCCACTTGGAACCCACAATGCAATGTACTTTGGCACAACTCCTCAATTTCTCAGCTGATAACCCAGATTGATGCTTACTTTCTGTCTTTTTCAAAAACTTTTTAAAAATTTAAATTAAGTGTGTTGGAAATATTAGGGCTTAAGATAAAATATGTATTATTCTACCAAGGCTGTGTCCTTGTGATTACTTCTATAAAAGAAGTAATACACGATGACAAGAAATATGACTCATTTTGCAAAAATATGCTTACAAGAAAGTTTTCAAGCCCACAGCTCTTTGCTGAGATAAGGACATTTGTATTTACAAAACAGATCTGAAACACCTACATGTTTTCCTGCACAACAGAACATGTTTCTCTTGGCACAATGTTTTAATCTCATATTTGAACAGAAATTTATAAATAGGTCATTATCAGTGCTTGGCCAGAGGGCATTTGGTCATTGGTTTTGTTTAAGGTAAAACAGTAAGGCATATGTGACAGCATAAAACATCGGCTAGTTCTTCCCTTTTTCACACACACACACAAAATTACCATCTGAAGTCTTCTTCAATTCAATTTTCAATTTTTCCTGGTCTTCTACTAGTTTTTTATTTTCAGTGTCCAAAATTTGATCTCCATCCTTGCCATGGTTTTTTAGTACCTACCATAAAAGAGTTATAGGAAGTAATAAGCTTAGATTGCAACAGTTGGATATTTTTTGAATAAATTAAAATTATCAGTCTTTACTAATTTGTCTTTTGAAGCATTCAATTTTTTTTTATAAAGTGCTTTTGCTAATAGAAACCTGAGAGCAAGCAAACACACAAAATTGATTTTGGGGAGCTGGAGAGATAGCTCAGTTGTTAAGAGGACATACTATTTTTCCAGAGAATCTGAGTTTGTTCCCAGCATCCATGTCAGACAACTCACAACCTGTTGTGGAACATTATTTTAACTAGACAAAGACGTGTTACATTCATTTATATTGCTTTTGTGTGATGATTTAAGGATGTGTATTTAATTATGTAAAGATGTGCTGCATCTCTTTCACTTTGCCTGCCTAAGGCACCTGATAGGTCTAACAAAGAGACGAATGGTCAATAGCTAGGCAGAGAAAGCAGAGGCAGGGCTGGTGGGCAGAAAGAATAAGTGGGAGGAGAAATCTAGACTCAAGAGAGAAGAGAAACTAAAGACAGAGGAGAAAACAAGAGAGTTGCCTGGGGCCAGCCAGGCAATGAGAAGCAGTGAAAATAAGACATACAGAAAGAAACCCCTAGTCCCAAGGCAAAGGCAGATAAAGAGAAACAGGTTAAGTTAAAAGAGCTACCTGGAAACAAGCTTAAGCTCGGCGAAGCATTCAAAACTAATAATAAGTTCTCCGTGTCATGATTTGGGAGTTGGTTGGAGGCCCTAATAGAAAAATCCTGATAAACAACACTATAGACCTAGCTCCATGTGAATCCAATGCCTCTAACTTCTGTGGGCAACTACACTTACATGCATATACCCACACACAGACATAGAGACGTGCATAAACATATAATTTAAAATATTCTTAAAAATTATTTATTAATATTATGAATGATGGTTCTGAAATGAAAGCAAGTATTTTTGATTAGGCTATAATTATGCTTTCAAAATTAATTCAATGTGACTGTCTTTCTCAGTTAAGGATGTGATATACATTTAATGCAAAAAAATCAGTTCTGGATTTGATATTAGTTATACAAATCATCATACTATATAATTGTACTGTCTGCCTACTCAAGACTATTCTACGTACAGAAGTATGTAGGAGTATAATTTATACTCTCACAGGATGAAGACGGGTAAATGGAAAACAGCAGGGTGATGTCTAGGGTAGGAAACTTCTGGTTTTCATTAAGCCTTACCAAATTAATTTTTAATTTAGTTGATCATTTAAATTGCTCTTTATATTTCAAAATCAATTCTGGGTATAACAATGTTTGTAGCTTGTCTTTTCTAGGTAAAATAATGAAGATCTGGAAAGTAAAATAACTGACAGTAAACATTATAGATGAAAATTTCCTGAACTTGAATACATAGAAATCATCACTGTTACTATAAACTAGAAGCAGATTAAAAGAAACATATTTAGGTTACAAAGGAAGATAAATTATATTTTACAACTATTTTAAAAATAAAACTGATATAGCTCAGTCAATAAAGTGGTGACCACACAGAGTTTGATCCCCAGAGCACACATTATAAAACCAGGCATGGTGAAGTCTGCCTACTACACCTGAGACTTCTAAGCCAATGAGCCTAGTCTACTCCAGGAATTTCCAGGCCAATCAGAGACTTGTCTCAAAAAACAAAGTGAACAGTACCTGAAGAATGACATCTGAGGTTGACCTCTGGCCTCTATGCTCGTGGACTAGTATCCCTCTCCTCAACACACACACAACAAAAATAAACAGAAAATAAATCTATACATCCACAGGCATGGGCCAGTAGATGAAACAGAGGACAGCAGCTTAATTCTGATGGCTTCCGTGGTTAGAAAAACACGGTAATTTAATAATTTCTACACCAGAGGCATACATTTAACACACAAAATTCACAAATCTAGTGAGCAATGAGTGGATGCAAACATTTCAGCATGAAAGACACTGTAAGATAAAATGTAAGGAAGCACGGACTACTCTCTTTGCCAACTTTCACCCAGTGGAAAGGACAAGCAGGAGCACACAGGAGGAGAAAGAACAAACATGGATTACCACGCTGGAGTAGGACAGGAGTAGGAGGATCAGGGGAGGGTTAGAGACCAGTGGCTCCGAGCACACTCTGAAACAGAGAGCATCAGACCCTTCAGAATCAAAAAGCAGGATAAAATTTCTCTCAGTCTCTTAATTTGTTGCTTACTTCAAGTTCAAAACAATTTTAGCCTAGAGAAAGAAGAGTTACATTTGTAAAGTCAGAACAGATTAAAAACTTAAAGCTCACTGTAGAGGATTACTGCTCTGGGGGTGATTACCGCAATTGGAAAGGAACCACTGAACTGCAGGAATGTTTAGTGACTGCTTGAAATATTTATGCCGTCGGCTTGGAAAAGCTGGATTTCTGGCAGGCTTGTAAATAATCTTTCATTACTGCACCTGTACAATTGCTTCCATTTATTATCCCTAATTTCATGTTGGAGAAAGACCAAGAGATCGAGAGCCCCAGCTAGAGGAGGACCAAGTCTTCACTAGCTCACCTGCTCTCGTCCATCCCAGAAGCTGGTGGGAGTGAAGGTCAGTGAGGAGTCAAGCTTCATCCTCCATTTTAAAGCAGTCCAGTTAAAATTAACTGATAGCAAGGCATGGAAGCACATATCTGAATCACCAGTATTTAGGTGACAAGCTGAGGTCAGAGGATTGAGATCTTTCTTTTTCTTTAAGTTGTATTTATTTTTAAGAGTATGGTGTGTTACCTGCATGTACATGTCTGTACCACAGGTGCCTGGTGCCCAGTAGAGTGCATCAAATCCCCTAGAACTAGAGTTACAGATGGTTGTGAGCCACTGTGTAGGTGCTGGGAACTGAATCCAGAGTCCTGTGGAAGAGCAGCAAATGCTCTTAACCTCTGAGCCATCTCTCCATACTGAATACTGTGATTTCAAGACCAGTTTTGCCTACTTAAAGGGAATCTGCCTTGAAAAACAAACAAAAGTTAACTTTCATTCCTTCAACTGAATTATTAGAAGGGGAATGGGCCTTGGGCACCAAACAGGGATCATCTTTATAGAACAATACAGGAGTTGAGGAGACAAATTATGTGTTTGTAGATGTGGGTACTAAAGTCAGGCTGCATGGTCTCAAACTTCCTGTACTGTATCATTTATTTGTACTATTACCTTTTCTCTCCCTGGTTTCTCAGCTATAAAATCCAGACAATACAAACCTCATGCGATTGTTCAAAAAAATTAAGAGTTAATATCTTACTGTGAATCACCTAAAGTAACATTTGGCATAGCATTAACTATTATTTATAGCCACAGGACCGTGAAATTCACAACCTGTGAGGGGAGTTGCCCTAGGTCACACTCCAAATACTATAGTGCTGAAGTTAGCACCAATTGAAAGTCTTGGCATTGCAGGATTGTGTAGTTTCTGCTTGGTAATATTCTTCATATACAGAATAAAGAGCTTTTTTAAAAAGCAATTTTATCATTCTTTCATTAACATTTCAAAGCCCAGAGGAAATATTATGAAATAAAAGCATTTTTTATATCCTTACCTATGGCTTTCATTGATCACTTTATCAGCCTATTAGTTATACTCTGAGGACTGGCAGAAATTATCCAGTTCACAAATTTCCTTCTCACTATAAACTAGCTTTCATATAGCATACCTGATAATCTAGGAAAAATGACTGAGTCAGAACTATACAGCAAGCAGGGAACCAGAAAAAAGAGATGAAATTGTGAGAGGCCCAGGAACCAGCAAAAAGGTAATAAATTTCCTACCATGAATGACTGAAGAGTTCCAAAGATCTGTCAAGGAAGCGACACTCTGAAGGACATTGGTTATGTTATATATGTGGAAAGCTATGTTATCAAAACCTTTGTAAAAATATTGTCTGCTTATAGTTCAGGACTAAGAGAAAACAAGTAAAAGGCTGTGTGCTCAACAACAGTTATAATTCACTAGTCTAAGATGATATGCATAATTTCAAAGCAACAGAGATAGATGAAAGCCTTCCCATAAATACAAAGCTGGGGTTTTTGAATTTAATCAACATATACAAGGTTTTGACTTTATCATTATGAAACGAGATCAAAAAGTATAAAGTCAAGCAAACATTAAAGTACAAAATGAAACTGACTGTGTTGCTGAAACAAACATCTCCCCTGCGAGTACTTATTAGTAGCTTTTTAATACAGATCACACCAACACCTTTATTTCTGTGGAACAGTATTACTGTAAGAGGAAGTACAGAAGACATCAATGGATCGATGCTTTTCCAACAAAGAACCAAGGCTGGGTGAGATGGCTCAGTGGGTAAAGCACATGGCTGTGTGAGCCTAGTGACAACCCTGTAACTCATGTGAAGGAAGACACAAGGGGAGAACCAATTCCCAAAGTGGTCCTTGGAAGTCTACACATGTGCTGTGGCATGCATAACCTCTCCACACATCATGCATATATGATACTAAATTCTTAAAAATAAGAACAAAACACATTAAAGTGCAAACTTTTTAACAAGCTGTTTCCATAAAAGATGCTAATAATCTATTCATAAAGAGGCATTTTTAAAATTCTTTCTATTATAAGAGTTCTTCTCCTACCTTTTTTGTTAACATATAAGTGAGGCAAATATCATAAGAAGTAAATAGAAGTTTTGAGTGGGTAATTTACAAAGTCAAAGAATTGTTCTTATTGGCCACATGATAACTGCCTGGAAGACAGGTCCTTTTCTTTTTTTAAATAAAGACTGAGCTTCAAGATCCAAGTTTAGGATTTTCACTCTAATGCTGCATAACTCATTAACTTGGTATAATGTAAAGACTATATTTTATTTTTTTTGTTTTTGTCTTGTTTTGTTTCAAGACAGATTCTCTATGTAGCTCTACCTGTCCTAGAACTCACTTTGTAGACCAGGCTGGCCTTGAACACACAGAGATCCACCTGCCTCTGTTTCCTGAGTGCTGGGATTAAAGGTGTACACCACTATGTCCAGCTTTGAGAAATAATCTTAATGTATGATTCTAAAAAAAATTTTTCTAAAAAAAATGTGTTTCATTTATTAGTAGTTCCAGTGACTCTTTCTTCTAAGAATTGGATCCAGTAAAACTTATGGAATTTGTATGAACTGAAACACTGAATCCCTGAGATCATCAGATTTTAAAATTCAAATTAATTTTGTGTTCATTTTTTTATTTTTTGTCAGTAGGGCCCTGATACTCAGGAAGTACATGTCAGAAGATAGAAGCAGCAAAAGATTTGCAAAAAGACTTTAAAAATTATGAGAAATCGTCAATGATGTCTCAATAAGCTCTCACTACTTTGTATACAACAAATCATACTTTAACCAAATGAGAAATGTACAGAGAATTATAAATATTTAATTCAAATTATGAAGTAAAATTGATAATGGTAATAGAGAACTTTAAAGTGTACTCCAAGGATGGCCATATTCTGGGTCTGACACAGCCAGTGTAATCTGGAACTCACAGCAGCTGTGGTTACTTTCATTATCAACAGACAGCTATGGATGATCACGGGAACCTACTCCTTCCAGCTGAACTACTGCTGACTATTGAGAAATTCTGAGAGAGGGGGAGTCATTATCATTAGTTGTGTATCCACTGGTGAGCCCACCAAGCTACAATGGACAGTTCCAAATCCATGGCCACAGAAGGCCTTAGAGGACTTGCAGGAGGGGGTAGGAGTGTTGATATAGGTGGAATGGGACAGGTGGGAACAGGGGATAAGAGTAACTAGAAGGTACTATATACATGTATGAATTTGTTAAAGAAGATACTGAATTACCAAAACAATACTAAAAAATGTGTGCTTCAAGAATGTTTCTTCCTGGATCATAGAAACAGGACCACTGGTATTAATTTTTATTGAGGTAAAGTGTGGGAGCAACCAACTCTAAACAACAGTAATCAGCTGGGCAGTGGCAGCACCCACCTTTAGTCCCAGCATTCGGGGGAGAGAGACAGGCAGATCTCCTACTTCAAGACCAGGTTCATCTACAAAGGATTTCTCAGAAATTCTAAGTAGATTTATAAATAAATAAATGTAATCATTCCATAGAAAAGAGCTATAGTTTGGGCCACTTTCTGCTGATAAATTATGAAAATGCTATTTCTGATGCTAAAATAATACATTACTCCTTGTTAACCTCAACAGCATTTAAACGACTTTTTATAAAGAAAATTAAATACCCATTTTAGTTTTTCATTCTCTTCCATGAATTTCTTGGCAGCCTTATTGGTATTTTCTGCTTGTGTTTTAAGTACTCCTTTGTTTGTTATTTCTTTGGCCAGCTGAGTAATAAGCGTAACCAGACGTCTCAACACTCTGAGGAAAAAAAAATGTAGTTCAGAATAATGCATAACTAGATTAATCATCAGGAAGTCTGACTTCTACACAAATAGCCATTATCAAATGACTCCTGCTCGGTCTACAGAAACGATGGTGGAGAGGATGTAACAGAACATTTCTCTTTCATTATCTACGCCTGGCGATAGAATAAGCTGTGCCTCACTCCTTTCTCTGCATCCTCTGCTGGATGATGACCTTTACAACACACAGATGTGGTGGTATCTCAGGGCCTCGTGCACACAGTGGTATTTTTCTCGGCTGGCCCTTAGTCTAAAGGAGTGAAAATGGAATTTTAGATGGTACTGTAGGCCTAGCAAGAAAATCTCTCTTCTCTCTCTCTTAGTTTGAAAATTTGAAGTTTAAAGGTTAGTTTGTAAAAGTGGCTAAGCCTAAAAAGTGAACATTGTCATGCTTACAGGTAACCCCCACTGTTAGAAATTATGACTAATCTCTTCAACTCTTTTTTTTTTAAAGCAGCTTTTTACTAAGGAACTACTATGTTAGGCATTGAGGCCATATCTGAAAATGAACTTAGCTCTTGCCGTCAAGTTTAAGCTCTAGTTAGAGATTATATATATATTGGTTTTTTGAGACAGGGTTTCTCTATATAACAGCTTTAGATGTCCTAGAACTCACACAGATCTGCTTGCCTGTCACTTGAGTGCTAGGATTAAAGGTGTATAACACTACGCTGGGCTTCTAGTTGGAGGTATAAACAGTATTAATTACAATTGTGAAAAGCACCAGAAGCTGAAGTCTTAGATGTAGTCTAAGAACTGCAACAGAAGACCAATCTACTTTGGAGAAAATGGTGACCATGGGGCTTTTTTTGAGAAAGAGGCTAAAGGATAAGCAAAAGTTAGAGAAGACCAGGTATAGTCAGGTTAGCCTTTAATCTCAGCACTTGAGAGGCAGAGGTAGGCAGACTTCTGTGAGTGCAAGGTTAGCCTGGTCTACACAGCAGGCTCCAGGCTAGTAGGGTTATATAGTGAAACCGCTGCATAGTGAAAAACCAGGGCTTCAGCTTCCCAAGTCCATTTTCCCCATGCCCCCTCCCCATTCCACCCTTTGGAGAATCTTTATCTCTGTGTTTCCTGACTCCTAAGAAAAGCTCTTCTTCAACCACTAGAAAAACAACAACACTTTCACTTTCTTCTCCTAGAAGAGCGTTCTAGGAGAAGAATACCTTGCCTGATGGCTCAGAGTAGGAAGGACAAAGACATCTGAAAAACTCAGTAAATACACAACAGAATAAATAGTGGAGAGACGGAATGCACTAAGTATACTGGAAACGGTATGAGAAGGCTTCAGAAAGTCAGCAACCAAATCATTCAAGGCCCTTTTCAACCAGTGGATCTACAGGTTGTAATTTTTCCTTTTCTATTTACAACATTTCTCCCTGCCCTTTCCTCTCTCCAAACTCTCCCATAGCTCTACCTACTCTCCTTCAAATCATGGCTTGCTTTCTTTCTAACCTATTGTTATTGTGTGCATATACACATATATTCCCAAATATAACCTGTTCAGTCCGTATAATGCGACCTGTATGTATGTTTTCAGGGCTGAACATTTGGCACTGGATAATTAATTGGTGTGCTCTTCCCTGGGGAAAGCAATGTCTTCCATTCTCAGCCTTCTTCAGTGCAACTATTATTTGTTATCTGAATATATCATCTGAATTCTTTTATGAAGATGGAAAAAAAACCCTAAAGTATAAGTAGAAAAAAAATCCAGAAAGAATTCTATGAGTGTTAAAACTGTGCTTGTACAATTTTTTTACTTACAGCCAAAAAAATAATGAGAATCCAGAGATATAAAGGTTTCTTTGGGACCTAAAGAGCTTCATCTGTGTGTGCTCATAGGCACCAGGCCTGCTGGCTGAGTTCTTCTCAGTGACTTGAGTGGAGGAATATTTCCTTACTTCTCTCACAGCATCTATTACAGGAGAGAATGTTACTTTTCATTTTTAAGTAAAAATATTTTAAACAAGAAGTAGTTGTGGAATAACTTACCAACCTCTATAATAATGGACTTTAGATATGGCTTTCTTTCTATATGTCCCTCTTTAGTACCCAAAGATGGCTAGTAGTGGCGATTTATGGGTCACTACTAAATCATCTTAAAATCATTCCTCTAGGGCTTACTTATCATCATCTCACTGTCAAATCTTGATCTAATGTGAGATATTATCTCTTACTCTTTCCACTTTTATGAATGAATAAAATTCAAGCTGCTGTTAGTAACGGATTAAATTCCACTTCTCTTAAAGAGCCAGCACCCTACTGTATTCCCATCACTTTAACTGAGACCAGAGCTATGTCACTGCATGGAAATGCCTATTTGCATAGACTGGTAAAATGGGTGCAGTCTACGTTAGATTTACTTCATAATAGTTCACAGCCACTGTCTCTAATCTATCATTTCAAAATAAAATCCCAACAAAGCATTCCACAATAAATAAAAAAGACTCATTTTCTCATTTTATTACCTTACATTTTTATGGCATTTCTTTTACTGAAAAGTATTTCCAATGCCATTAAGCATACTTGCTCATTTGCTCTGTGCTGCAATATACACAAAGCATTTTTTAAATTGCTCACGAGTAAAGCTTCAATCCTTTGTTTTCATAAAATATATTTGCTATTTAAAATTATTTTCTCGGCAACATGTTATTTAATGTACTATTTGGTTCATTTATTCTGTTTTGCTCTCAATTCTAGAGTATGTTGAAAACAGAGTAGGACCAACAGTAAGGGGATAATGTGATTTGAGATGAAGACATCAGCATGTTGGGATAAGTCTTATCTGCCTTCCTTAACTTGTCTCAGTATTACAGAAACGTGATACAAATTCATTCAAAACTTGGTAAAATTCCCTTCTTAGTTTGTTGCTTTTGATGTTTTGAGACGGGGTCTCACTATGTAGCACTAGCTATCCTGGAACTCAGAGATCTATCTATCTACGAGCCTCAACTTCTGCCTCCTTAGTGCTGGGCTTAAAGGTGTGCACCACCATGGCTGGCTTCCCTTCCTGTTTTTAACAATTCTATACTCCTTTACAATAGATGCTCTCAATTTTATAATGAGGATTAACTCTATTTCAAAGGTTGGTGTTATAAACATAAAACATTTTGCATAAAACGCCAAACACAGTGGTTTGTGGCTCCAAGTTGGTGCCAGCAAACCTACTACTTAATATAACAAGAGATTTGTGAGGAGGTTCCTAGGGAAAACGTACTTTGCAATGTATATTAAAAGCTAAGGTGGCAAAGAGTGACTCTTCCAAATATAAACATGAAACCCATTTACCTTTTATACATATTTTATACATGCAAGTCTGAAATTAATTTTAGATAATGTTTTTACTGTTCTTGGGTTTAGCCTGTAATTATCACAGAGTGAGAGGTGGAATTTTCCAACCATGCTAGCATGCTGGTGCTAAAATGTTTTGCATTCTTTCAATTCAAATTTTTAGATTTAGAGTTTTCAGTTAGGGATGTTCAATCTGTGCAGTACCCATCTATAACTCTACCATATGGATTCAAACTGAAAATCTCACCATATTTGCTCTATGTTTTTCAATCCAAAGTCTCACTGATACTTCCCCTAAATATTTCACTATGCATCTTCTCAGATTAAGGACATATTCCTATGTAAAAACTGTTAATAACTTCCTTTTTTTAAACAAAGGGATAAGCAATGGATGTTTTCAGGGCTTACCAGCTGCAATACTAAGCTCTGGAGTTGTCCATGGAGATGGGCATGGACCACATGCAGAAGCAAGAGATGCTTCAGTATACCAGACTTACAACCACAGGCCTCTGAGTCAGACTTTAAGATGCTCTATAACACTAGCATCACAAAGCAAAAGCCCAATACTACCTAACAACCATTTAGTAATAAAAAAATTTGCAGCTCTCAAAGCTGTTGTTTTTAATCAGGATTTAGTGAAGATTCATGCTTTCCCAAGAATCTTTTAAGAGCCTAGTGACTCTATTATTTTGGTGCATACAGGCCAAGATCCTGTGTGCCCAGGACAGTACTATATCAAAGACTGTAATTGGTTGTTATATGGCAACTACAAAGAAGACCACTTAGTGCATCGAAACTTTAAACCTAAAAGAGGTTAAGAATTACTGCATTTGAAATTTGTGTGTATAAAATAGTACCAAATATGTATCAAAATAGCCATAATTACCTTAATATCAATATATAAAATGATTTTTCTTTTAATATATCATCAATTTAAATAATCAAAACCCAAATAATTTATTTAAAAAGAACTGGATTCAAAGGATGAATCTAGTACTTACCTAAAAATAGAACGATTAATAGTACTATAATGGCAAGGAAAGCTTTGTTCCAAAAACTTGCAATTTTACCCCAGACACTAAATGAAAAAATCTTCTGCCACCTGTGAAGCAATATAATTAGATTAGGTAAAAAAACAGATAAACAAAAATAACAACATGAACAACCAAAAAAAAAACAGGAGCAAGTTTTGAAATGTTTCATAATTAGTGAAATAATATTTTGATAGTAGTGTGACAAAAATTAGAGAAATTTAATTTTAAAAGTTATTACTTCTCTGATATGACAGAATAGCTCATGATAAATGCTATGACATTTGATTATCTTTTGTCTGATGGTTTAAATATTCTAAAGTAAAATTAACTTTTAAAGTAAACATACATGAACAAAACCTCAAGAAGAAATGTGGGCATGGGTTTGTGTGCAGGAGTCATGCCTGTGGAGTACGGTCAATCTGAGATGTTCCTCAAGAGCCTTTTTACCTTGCTTTAGAGAGTCTCTCCCTGGTACTCACTGGTCAGGAGAGGCTGACTGTAAAATCTGCCTGCTTTTCCTCCCTGGCACTGAGATCATAAATCTATGCAACCCTCCCTGGCTTCCTCCACAGGTTCGAGGGATCAGACTCAGGTGCACAAGTTCGTATGCCAAGCACTTTTCCAACTGAACTATCTCAACAGTCCAAAAAGAAATTCTTAAACTAAAATGTTATTTGGTTGCTGTTGTTTTGTTTTGAGACAGGTTCCTCTGTAGCTTTGGAGCTTGTACTGGAACTCACGCTGTAGACCAGGCTGGCCTCAAACTCTCAAAGATTCACCATCTCTGTCTCCCAAGTGCTGGGATTAAACATGTGTGCCACTGTCGCCCCACAAAATGTCATATTTTTAATGGAAGCTATTTCTTTTTCCCTAGAAATGTCTCAGAAATGATGATGTCTTTTGATCCAACCACTAGCAACAGTTAATTCTCTACATACTTATTTGAGACAGGGTCTCACTACACCTCAACAGAGCCCATGTTGGTATGGAACTTGCCACCCCCATGCTTCAGCCTAAGTGCTGCAATTACAAGCAATTACTACTATATTTGGCTTCTGCAGGTCTATTTTTTATATAGTATGCTTCTATTGTATACTCTAAGTATTTTTTTTTCTTTTTTTCAAGACAGGGTTTTTCAGTAGCTTTGGAACCTATCCTTGCACTTGCTCTGTAGACCAAGCCAGCCTCTAACTCACAGAGATCTACCTGTCTCTGTCTCCCAGAGTGCTGGGAATAAAGGCGTGTGCCACCACTACCTGACAGTAATTTCTTTCTTTAACCAAAAATGTTCAAAAAATAATGACTAAGATATGACATATATGTAAAACTGGAAAAAAAAACTTTATATATCAATGTAAACTTTGACACATGGAAATATACATATGATTTATCCATGACCCAGGTCAAGCTCTGAACAGAGGAAATGAAACGCGGAAGTAAGCAGTCTAGACAAGACTGAGCAGCATAAACAAAGGTGCAGAGGCAAGAAGTGTGACCATCCTGGGACTGGGAAGGTGTTGAACTCTGCAGTAAGTACTTTAAAATGAGTGATACATTGAATCAAAAGGAGACCTGAGAAGGTAATTGGCATGTGAATACATCTCAGAAGCACAATGTGGAATTTTTACTTAAAGATATGACAAATTGTTAATAAATTTTGAAAAGAACTATCAACAATAACTTCAAGTTGAAGGGGAGAAGACTGATTTCCTTCTATGTCAGGAGTGTAACAAAATACCTTACAACATCATTCTTATAAATGTACTTCCCCATTCATGATAGCAAGTTCCTGGACCTATGGCTAATCAGGAACAAGGGAAAGTCTGTGAGTATACTGGACATTCAGTACTTTCAAGAAGGCAGAAAGTTCTTTACTGAGTAAGTAAAGCTAATATGTAGCTCTGATAGTTTACATACCCAACATTTTTAACACATACCCATTAATTTTGACTGGAATGAGAAGTAAAATGACTATTAATGAAATTGTTTCTTTTCTCCCTGAGGTCAAACCTGAGAACCATCTCTATGTTTTGGTCTGTACACAGAAATTCCACTGTCCCAATTAACAATTCTGCACCCAGCCCTTTATTTCACTGCTCCAATTCAGGATAGTAAAAAGAAAGGAAAACATGAAGTCAGCACAGTATGGCAGTCCATGGCATAAATAGCATAACACTGCTTTATTATACCTGTAATCAAGACCAAAAAGACTAAGTTCTTTTTAAAAAAAAAAAAAGTTTGGGGGAAATTCCACTTGTATAATCAAGCTTTAAAAGGTAGCATTTTAATACTGTTACCAGAGAGCAATCTGGGTTTCCTTTTTTTGGAGTACTTTTCTCTGTAATTTTCTTTTGGGTGTGGGGCAGGGTTTCTCTGTTTAATAGAGAACCTGGAACCAGGTCTGTAGACCAGGCTGGTCTGGAACTCACAGAGACCAGCCTGCCTCTGCCTCCCAAGTGCTGGGATTAAAGCCATGCGCCACCACCGCCTGCCTTGTTTAACGAGTACTTTTTATGAACCGTCTTTCTAACTTTTCTCCCCAACCACTCCATCCCGCTGTGTTTCGGGCACATCAGGGTGGCTGTGTGGGCGTCAGAAGACAACTTTGT